AGCGCTTTGGTTGCTTCTCTCCAACAACTCTTTAATTTGTTCTATACTGATTTGGGCATTTTTCGTAAATTCCCGTAGATTAGATATAGCATACTTAAGAGCATTTATTGTATTACTTAGCCGTGTAGGCCTACATCCTAGGACGACTGATGACCGTGTGTTTACGGCGAATTAAAATGCGAGGAAAAGTAAAGTATTTCGTATAAACCGGACGCTCTATATATAACCTTTGTAGATTAAGGAATTTCCCCAGAATGTCTTTATATATTTTCTTGCTTTTCTTTCACTTCTTTTCCCAAAGAAAAATATATTTATATTAACATTTTTTTCAATGGGAAGATCTGGTATGTAGAACTTAGTACTATTTCTACTACTATTACTGCTACTAATCATAATGATGATAACAGAAATAATAATGATAAGAGTAGTAACACTATCAGTGATAAATGTAATAATGATGATAATAATAATAACAGTAACAATAAAATAATAACAGTAATGATAATAATGTCGGTGATAATAAAGATAATAACAGTAATGATAATAAGGATACTAATTATATTAAAGATGATAATATTTATAACAACAGTCATAACAATGAGAATGAGAATGCTAATAGCAATAATCATAATACTGATGAAAATAATAATGATAATGATGATATTAATGAGGATAACAGTAACAGCTATAACCATAATGGTGATGTTTATGATAACAATAGTAGTAATTAAATGATAATAGTAACGATAGTAATAATAGTAATGATAATAACAATGAAAATAATAATAATAGAATGATAATGATAATAATAATAGTAATGGTAATGATAATGATGATGATGATGATAATGATGATGGTGAAATAATGATGATAATGATAATTACAGTGAAAATAATAATAATAGTAATGATGATAATGAAAATGATGATGATAATGATGTAACAATGGTAAATATGAAAATAATACTAATTACCATAATTATAGAAATATTGCTAATAATACCATTGAAGCTAACAATTAGAATTATGGTAATGATTATGGTAACATTAATTGCATTGCACATGATAATATAGATGATAATTATTACAATCAATGATATGCCAATTTTCGTATAGTTTCTAAGAAATAAAAGCCTTCGATGTATAGTGTTATATAACTGGAATTACAGAAAATGAAATGAAATCACTGATCATGAATAGAGTATCTAATGTTTAATTTCTGAAGCCAGCGGTGGCCATCTTGGGGGAACCATCTTGGATTGCGGTTGTGTTCGTAAAATACACTTACAGCAGAAAGATGAAGAAATTTTACATTTTATGACCATGCATGATATAGGCAGAAAGATTTGCTATCTCTAGTAGCTTAGAAAAAAACTGTATTGTTTACGCAACTGAAGGGGAGGGTCTGCCTGGGATATGAAATAGTAAAATATTCGAAAAAAATGTTATTTCGGCAAGATTCCGCTATGCCATGGAAGTTTGAGTGGATTTTGCACTTATAATGATGCAGCTTATTTTGCCAATCCTAGCACCTCTTGCGCATCGCCCATAACGTACGTATCACGATCAGAATCATCGCAAAGTGGTCCTCCCAAGATGGCGCCGATCTTGGCTTCAAATTCTGACGCCCGTAAACAGTAAGTTGCTCAGCTCAGTTTATCGAGATCAGTGAATGAAATAGTATTGTTCTAAATATGCAAGATGAAATACTTCATAATATGAACACCGAATATTTTAATATTCAGTACAACTTTCCGAATAAATTCGCAGCCACCCTAAGGTGGGGTAACTTTAATGCATTGAAGTATAACAATATATATCCACTATTGGTAAATAAGCAGTGTCTAAATAAACTTTGCCATATATAATTTGATGTCTAAAATTAAATTCGTAAATAAAAAGATAAAAAACGGACATTTCCCAAACAATTTCCTAATCAACTGGGAATGCCCTCACTTACCTATACTGCTTACAGCTTACGCTCGCTAAAGGAAAATGCTTTCGCGAAATTTATTATGATTGATAATAACACTAATAAGTTTTTTTTCATATAACCATTTGTTATCTATATTTGCCTTTTCCTTTGCAAGTCATTTACACAGTAATTACCGTTTTGTCTTGATAGTTCGTTCGTCGGAAAATAGAAAAAAAATACATACACAATACAATATACGTTTGTTCGTATTTGTTGCCTCTTGTTCAGTTACGAAACACCTGTGCAAACATAATAATAGAGTCATGTGATTTAGACGTAATTGGGCGCCGTCAATTTTTTGGAAGAAAGCAGCCGATATTCTCCCGCCAAGACAAAAAAGCGCGGGAAAACGTGATATACTTTATCGCCAAAAGGTTCACCCTCTAATAATTATGTATACTTAGGAAAACATAATGGCTTACCACACACTGACATGCTACAATATTGTCTACTATTGTTCTCCCCTTCCTTTTCCATAACATTTGAATATAGATAATAGTTTAAGCTAAATAGGGCTGCAGATAAC